CAGCAAATACTATCAGTCCATAAATCGCACAGCATTAATTTCCATAATCATGCAACACCTTGTTAATAATAAAATCGTTAAAAGCTTGACATCAAACAATCTGTTGTTACATTCGCAGTATGAATTTCTACAAAACCGTCCAAATTCAACTTGCCAACTAGACTTCTTTGATCACTTAATGAAATCGACAAACTCTAGTAAGGCCTGTATCTTGCTTCCATAAGATTATCGAAAGGATTTTATTATAGATTCACATAGAACGCTTATCCTCATACTTCGCCTTATTAGAATCGCAAGCTTACTACTATCGTGATTAGCAGCGCACTTCACTGGACGGAGACAAACAGTTGAAATAGGCGATTATCTATCTGAAAAAGATCAATTACTATTGGAGCGCAACAAGGTAGTGTACTAGACTCACTTCTTTTGCGGATAAATGTAGCTGACCTTTTCCCTGCAATATGGCAGAACCTTTTAGTTGAAGATTGTATAAAAATTTGCATGTCACCAAGGCTCAACATCTAGTTGTCTCTTAAATCAGATCCAAATTGGCTTAGCTTCCCTGGAAGAATTGTGTGTCGGAACTTTCATGCAATTTTCAACATCCAAATAGGGCTTTATATGCTACTGGCGCATGGTTCCACCGGAATGTTTCTTTTCGCATGGAATCCCACTCCCTTTATGCGAATGGATTTGTGAGTTGAGCCTCCGTTACTCAGCATCGTTAAACTTTAACGAAAAATTGAATATACGGTGGCTAAAACAAGACAGAACCTTGGACTGATACGCTTCCTGATTATAATAAGCGAGGTTAGGCTCTTGTCCCCAAACTACACACCAGACAATGATTAGAATACCGTGCCACTACTTTTAATGGCGTGGCAACAAGCAGCACTATTGCAATCGTAGATACACAGAGATTTATTACAGAAAGCATTGTGGGTTGCACCTATACGCTCATTTTAAAGGATGCCATTTTTTGAGAAGGAATTGCTTTTGCTTCCGTGATTAGAGCTGTGTTTATGTCAGTCATTCACAATTATCCATCGCCTAACATACAGTAGTTACTTTCAGCCGGTATTCCAAGAATCTCCATCATATGACCTAAGAAACAAATATTATGTGATAAATCTACCTCACTACCACACTTGTCTACCGTAATACACACAAATATCCCACGCAATGGAATTATTTGCTTCCGGTTACCTGAAGTACATCTTCGCTTCGGAGATTTAAGATGCAACTGAAAAAGTACTTAACAGTCAATAAATTAATGAATTGATTTGCGTTATTTACACAGTCGAATGGGTGTAGGACAACTGACTTGGTTAGGTTTAAGCACTTGCAGAATTCGGAGCCCAAAAGTACACATATATATATGGGGAGAAAAGCTTGTCGATACAACTTGAACTACGTTGCTCTTTAAGCATTAGTTGTTATATAATAATACTTAAACTGATAGCCCAACGATGGCACATTGATAGGTTAAATAAATGAGATATGTCTCTGATTTGTCTTCATCTATACTGTTATATTCTCTGTGTTACTCAGATTGTTGAACCAGTAGTAGCCCATGAAATCATGAGCCATCCGATAAATTGGATGGAAAGGCTTTCTCACATTATTTACCTTATATACACTGCCTCATACTGTGCTCTAACTTAGCTTCAACACCAACAGATGGCATGACATGGGTGCCTGCAAAACATGGACCTATTGAAGGTTGAACCATTGATGCCCTGCATTTAACCCCCCTATTTGTGTAACCTAATTCCATTTGCCCCGTCTAATAAGAATTGCTGTGTGAGGCACCTCTTTCGTTCTAATGGATTTAAAGGGATAATGATAGGAACTGTTCTCAGTTTACCTTTTTGGAATTAGTGCTATCTTTGCTGGTCCCACTACAAGCATTTTTAAAATTATCGTTAAATACTAGAGTTATGAGTTTTGTAATTACATTTTCCATGTGAAAATTGTCACTTACCTCCTTAAACATTCCTATTTGGCTATTTTTCACTAGCTTCCTCCCAAAATTATCTGAGCGTTTTACAACCGTCCTCCATTCGGATGCATTGTGAAACGAAATCAATAGTGCAAAAATCAATGGAAATGTAATCAAAATCGTACTTTACTGCAGTCCAGTATAATCCGTTTACAATTCCTACGTATCTTATAATCAGACTAGATTAACACTACCGTGTCTCACAGAGTTAAGAATACTTCGCTATATCTGTTTTTTATCGTCTTATCCGACGTCACTTTACTACAGAAGCTATAGCTAGCAAAGTAAAGCATCACCGAGAAAACTACACCCATGGAAATAAACTGAATTTGCCCCAAGTTTCTAAGGATAATTACAGGATATCTTGCAGCCATTTGCCAGTATTTGGCTAATTCCCATATTCTCCCAGCTAAGTCTGAAAGTGGAATAATTACTCCCGTATACAAAGGAGGTGAGATCATGCGAAGTGCCGATCCATTACTCTCCTTCCTGTTTTAAAAAGAGATAAAATCCACAGTCGCAGATGTGCTGAGGTGATGTTTTGAAAGTATGCGAAGCATTTCCAATATCCAACATAGTGTTAGATGCAGACGATCTTGTTTTATCAATCTGATTCTTGCTAGGGACTCATGAACCAACGCGGCTGACGACGGAGTCGCTTAAATGTGATTTTTTGAAGATTTCCAAAGCTTTCTACAGTCAATCGCTTAGTTTTCCTCAGAAGGCTTGGTGTCTACAGTATCACGGTGCTCTGCTGAACTGATTGAAACAGTAATTGTATTACAGAGAAATTAAAATCGGAGTCGCCGACACCCACTCAGAAAACCTGTGCGTCTCCATTCGTTTACCGCAAGAATGCGTCCTCCGCACGCTACTGCTTTTATTCTTCAGACTAATTTGATCTGCTGGATAATTGTTAATTGCAGTACAAAAACGCTTTGTATGCATTAAATACTTGCGTTCAACCAAATTTTTCAACAATTCGCTATTAGCTTAATTCCGGCCCCACTTGAAGATACATAAACCCTATTTAACAATAAATGTTTACTGATCTCGTCATTTCAAAGGAATTGATCTGTCTCTTCACCCCACGCAAGAGACAAGGAGATAGTGGTGGTCTCCAAGAGAACGTGTTTAACATCAATGCCTGCCTGAAAGTCAGTCGTGATAAAACTGTTCAATTTTAGGATTTAAGCTTATTTACTTATTCATGAAATTCCATTTCCGAGTCGAATTCATGTTAAACTTCTCCGTAATATACCAAGTAGAAATCCAACGCAAAGGAAACAGATCATTTCTGCGGAACTTAAAACAAAAGTATGATATATCAAATAGAACCTTATTCTTTTTCGCTAGCTGTTAATCGCCGCAACTGGCTCGTCTATTCTTCGCCTACAGTCTTCGTTGACTTTTCCAACCTGGTCAATATATACCATCAAGACATTAACTGACATAGCTCGGGCTACCTACGGATCACTATACTTTTACCTCTTTTTCGGCCGTACAAAACGCATAATAGCTCTTTTACAATTCTAACTGAGCCAACAAGCTGAACTGGATACTTCTCTTAATGTTACGTTACCTGGTCTACACAGCAAACGCGAAGATCCAAAGTTTTCCAACCTAAAGATTTGCATACGAGGCTTCTTCTTTGAAAGATTTCTAATGACTTTGCAGAGTGAGACAATTAGCTTTGTATTAAGATGATGTTACTGCAAATGCTGTACATGAGCTTAGTTGAAGCAAATAAAACTCTACAAATCTGAATGGGCGTAAGTGAATTGCGTTCGAGATTATCTAAAATTTGCTTTGAAATTTGCCAACAAAATCCCATTTTGAACCATAACTCAGAAAGGGAAGTGAAGCAGCACCCTGGAAAGCTGATGATTTGTTGATTTGGTGGTGATGTTAGACGGTTTAGCCCATCTTGCTATGTATGCTGACCAGAAAGCTCTGCTCGAATTGCCACATTTGTGATAGTTATTGATTGGGGAACGTACGAAAACCTGCCAATTTATGTCAGCAACGTTTTTTATATGTGTTGGTGTAGTCAAGAGAAGAGTAGAATAAATAAATATTTCCATTTGTGCTTTTTACGCTTATTTGAAATGTCTAAGAAACAAGATCGTTTTCCGTGGTTCATCTTCAGGCTGTAGAAAACGCATTTATATGGCTAATATAGAGAATGGTGGCTTGTGTAACTGGGGAATGCAGGTATATGACTTCAGTGATTTGTTTACGCGGAAGTAGCTTGGACGACAACTGGCCAAAGTAAAACTTAATCCTTGATAATCTGTTTATGCAAACACAACATGGAGCTTATTAAAACAGATCGCGGTCACCTCCGTGAATGCAAGGATTCGGCATCGCATAAGTTCGGAATGGAAAACCCTCACACGGTAAATCAGGTGAAAATAAGTAGAGAGAACGACGTGATGTTTGCACTGACTGTTTGACTATCGCCGTTGTGCATATCCTGTTGAATCTGCCGCGTAGCGAAGCGGGGTGCGGCTTCTATAGCCGTTCCTGCTGTATACAGCAGGAACAGTTAAGGTGGTTCGCAGAGAAAATGCTGGCATCCACAGATTTGATGTTCTTTTGTTACAATTGAATGGGTGTTTAAGTTAATTAAATATGAAAAAGGTAAGCCTAACCTGTAACCAGCTGCATTTATCAACTTTTAACCACTTAGTCGAAATACTCACAGATTCATTTCACAAAGTAGACACAGACCATATGCAGCACAGAATAAGACAGCATGAGTTCTCGACCAAATTCATATGGGACTTGAAAATTGTAGCGCTGTTGCCAAACCTTTAGTCAAAAGAAGTTCAAATATGTTCTTCGCACATCCAAACAATTTTGTTAGTCCATGCATGTCATCCGAAGGCATTATTTTATTCAGAATGTGTTCATACATCCTACAAAAAGCTATTTGTATTTAACATATTATTAGCAGTTGTTGTCATCAATCCTACTAGTTAAAGTTGGCGCTTACCTTGCTTTTTATGGAAAAGTAAATGATCACGATGATTATAATCGTTACGGCCATTATTCCGACTATCGCAGCGTACTGAAATGCAGAATTTGAGATGGCGTGAAAACTTTGGTGACAGAGAGTCTCCTTTAAATTTGTATTCTTATTTGTTTATTACATCCTCTGGTATTTAACATGACCTAGTCTGCAATATTTCATCAACAAGCCTGGATATTTTATGAGCCTTTTAAAATTATGAAGTCCCAGCCGGTTCCCAGTTTATTCTAAGATATTGAAGCAGGGATATTTTACTTTGAAAACCTGAATGTGATCCTTTTTAGTTATGCTAGATGAACTGGAACTCTTAGACCGGCCTCATATCCCCCTGAACCTGCATTTTGTTGAACCAGCCTCTTAACGAGTACAGTAACGCGGCATTGTTCATTTTAATTGATTAATTGTAGCTTCCTGTAGGTAAAAGAATGATAAGCACAAGTAGTCGATACTTTGTCGACGATCAGCTGGGACCGGCTCATTAGCAGTCTGTTACATATGTAAGTAAATGAAAGTTACTTAATTGGCGAAGTGACGGAATACCATAACAAAATGTTGGAGTATCGAGCTCCCTCGGCACGAGGTAATTTAAGCTGGGCAGTTCTAGTATAATGCCATGCTTTTTCTCTTCTTCTTACTGGTGTGCGAGACAGTTCGGTTAAATTGAAGCGCTACTGGCACAGTAGATTTTTCAGCTCTCATGGAACAGCGAACAATTATATACGTTAGACAGTTAACCGTTATACCAGTATGGGTATAACTCTACTTTGTAAGGAAATAGAAAGAATTTAGTGTGAAGTTCATCCACCAATGCTGCTCCTGTATAACCACAACTCCTTTTATTTAGCACAATTAGCAAAGCTTTGAGTACATTCTAAATGTAGAGGAGCAACTTACAACGGTCTTGGGAGATTTCCTAATTAAGTGCACCTCATCTAGTTAACCAAGCAATAAATCACACCAATCTCCATTTGGGTCTACATATGTAATGAAACTATGAAATGCAGCCAAATCAACAGCGCGGTAAGTTTCTTTTTTTCTTCTTGATAAATATTTCCTTCTACAATGGGTTGGCCTCCTGCAGCACTTATCCCTGGTTCACCTTAGAATTTAACTTCCCTCAAATGAATCAAAATATCCACCCTAACAATTTCTATTTTCTGCCGTACAAAGCTACTGTCAGTGAACGTCATGCCTTTCGGCGCCAAGCCTGTCCACTGTAATCTTCATAAATTGTATGGCAATAGAGGATAATCCGCGCTGTATCGTAGCTTATAAATCTTGACGGTCGGAAGCTACCACCCATGGTCCATTGATATAAGCTGTTGACCGATAATGCAAGCAGCTGGTGGTCATCGGTACGAATCCTGATAGATCCGATCGATCCGCACGACTGATGTGGTCAAAGATGTTGAAGCTGCAGTCTAGTGCTTCACTAGGCATGTCGAGATCTATCTGATTTGGAAGCTAGTGCGACCAGCTCTCAGCTAATTTAATCAAATATTGCCGGTTACTGGTGATATACTTCATTTCACTTACCAAATGCAACACCAATTTCAGGTTACAATATGCACCAACATAGCCAATTGCCGATAAGATACCGACGCTAGCTCCAGCTGCGAATACAAATATTCCGAGTGGAGCTACAGAATCGCAACAGAGAGGAGACAAGTGTTCAGAGCGTTCCATCATCAGCAACTTTGATATAATGTTCGATTGCAAGTTGCATGATTGAATATCCGTGCTCAGATAACTTGCATATCCACCAGCTAAACTCAAGCGTCTGATGAACTCTTTTAGTGTTTTAACTGGTTAACCTAACAATAAGTGTTTATTAGCCACCTATCAAATTAACCACGCTGCAAGAACTCTGTACTGTATGGTGAGTTTGCTCAAAGGTGATGAAGCTAGAGCGCGTGTCGTGATCTTGTTACTAAGCTATCGTTATTGTCTTTCAGGATGCTTAACGACGTTTAATGTATCCTGTGCGCTGATCAGTCCTGACAAAGGTTTTGAAGCCAGGAGTCGAGCAACACCATTCCTTTCTGTTCAACTGAGGGTACTAAGATATATATGCCATATATGCGTTACAACAACTGTACCCATCATTAATACTCCTAGCTAAATGACGAATTGTGATGTCATTGTTGCAGTTTAATTGAAAGGTCACCAAGTAGTAAATGCGTCATGTTTTACACTTTTAGCACTTTCACAGACTGTCTTCTAAATGTTTGCCCCTGGTTAATGAGAGATTCTTAAACTAATGAACTAAGTAACTGAGCCTTAGATCCGACGATTACGATTTCCATCTAGCAAAAAGGCCAGACATTTGGTATCTATACGCCGATTATTCTTAATGCTTCAAAAATACAGAAAGTTGAATAAGATTGATTTAATATACAAAGCATTTTTTGGTATTCCACTACTGACTGAACATCCAACAAATAAGGATAGTAGGCGCGTCTTACTGCTCGCTTAATGAAATGTGTGGAACTCACACATTAATGGACACAGAAACATTAAACACAACCACCTTTTGCGATAGACGTTAGAATGCAGAATAATGCCGTTTGAGGATTGCTCGATATTAGCATCTAGAATCTAGGGGTTTATGCGAAATTGAAATTTATCACACAAATTTAGACAGGTGGTGTCTAAATATGTGCAGATAAATAGTATAAGCCAGGCCGTCGAAATAATTTTTTTTGTGCAAACTGCCATTGGTACCTGATTCTTTTTCTCCAGGGAAGCGCAGAAAAATTCGGCTGTCTGTCTCATAGTTAAACAAGTTAAATGTCCTAAACATGCTAGGAAAACACCCTATAAGTTACTACAAAAGCACCTACAAAGTCAGCTGCAGAGGTCGTATACCAAAAGCTTACAGCGTTCGAAGATCAATCCGAAACACCCATCACTGCTCCAGGCCGACCGACTTGCACAACAACAACAACCCACTGAATACAATGTCTTTCAAACTACAGGCGGAGCTAGACGCTTGAACAACACGGTTTCCGTCGACAGCGGTCATGTACCACTAATTTACTAATTGCAAGCAGTAGTTGGACCAAGGCAGCTGACACTGGAGAAGGTGTTGATGTGATCTACCTGGATTTTTCGAAGGCTTTCGATCGTCTAGACCATCGGATACTAATATCCAAGCTGCAGCATTACGGGATCGGAGACCCTCTTCTAAGCTGGACCGCCAACTTTCTACTTCCACGGTAATTAGTGGTTAGAGTTCGGAGCTCTTTATCGGACCCCATACAAGTCGAGTGTGGTGTGCCGCAAGGCTCAGTTCTAGGTCCACGTTCGTTTTCGGTGTTTATTAATGCCCTTGCACAGGGAATCGCTTCAAACTTCCTAATGTTTGCTAGCGATATCCAGGTCTGGCGGATGATCCAGGCGAACGCTGACCAACAAGTGCTTCCGAGTGACTTAGATACAGTATATCAATGATCGACCCAAAAATTATTGCATTTCAACGTCAATAAACGCAAGGTGCTTTCCATCCGACATCACGGCAGCTACTCCTACCGACTCGGAACGGATGTACTACAACCATCAACTCTCGTACGTGACTTGGGTGTCCTAGTTCAAGATGACTTGGGTTGCCCCCAGCAATCCGAAAAAACCTCGAAGACCGGGAACCAACACGTTGTGCTGTTGAGGCGGGCATTTGGATAAAATAAACAGTTCCATAATTCGACAAATCCTCAGTGCGTATGTTCGCCCCTATGTTGAATATGCAATTTAAGCCTGGCATCCATGGCTGAAGCACGACTTTAATGCACTAGAGCAGCCGCAACCCCGGGCATCTAGGAACGTAATTGGAATGCGCAATCTTTCCTACCAGGAGAGGCTGCGACGACTGGGATTGTTCAGTGGAAGATATCGCAGACTACGAGGTGACCTGATAATGGCATACTTGATTCTGCGAGACCCACATCATGTGTGCCGCCTTTTACTGCAACTCAGTAGCAACACAAACCTGAGGGGCCACTCATTAAAACTCGCAGAACAATATAGTCGTCTTGAGTGCCGCAGAAATTTCCTTTCCATTCGTGTCTGTCACCTGTGGAATGCTCTCCCAGAATCGGTCGTCTCTGCACCGACACTAACAGTATTTAAAAGACGATTGGACGATGCACTCATCCACTTATACTTTGTTACTTAACACTACGTCTCCATCCTACACCCGGAGTTTACCATGGAATTATTTGTTGTTAACTATGGGTGCTGTAAATATAAGAGGATCGCAGGACTACTGCGAAGCAAACGATAAGTCCTTATTTTCGTATTTAAAGTGTTAACTATTTTACTATCCTTATTATCATTATTGTTATGTTGATATCCCCACCAACTATCCAACGTGGCTTGTAAAGCAACGCTTCTTAACCCGTATAATTGTATTGCTCATTGTTCATTGTTCTACACAAATACTGCATTAAAATATATTAGGTGTATCATATTGCAATTATCATGAAAGGAAAACACAAGTAAACAAAATAGTTAGCTGCACCTTTAGAAAAGATTTTTAAATCAAACATCGTATTGGTCCAATGTGAGGCGCAATTTGCGACTCAATAGCGCCAAAACCGGTTTACTTATACTGCTCTAAAAAGTAAGCAAGACAAGGAACATCATCAGTGACGTGTAAGCAACATCGTAGTAGTTGACCCCAAGAAATTCTCTAGAGTGAATGCTTAAGCCAAACTAGAAAATGCACCCTTATTCAATCATAGAAAACTTCTAAACATTTGGTGGCTGACCCAAAAATTTATCAAAGATGCAAGTATGTCGGAAAATCTCTCTTAATTATTTAGTTGGATAATTATTGGTATGTTCTTGTATACTCACACGTTGTTGTCATCAGGCGATCAATCAATTCCGAAATCTGCGATGGATCTCCATCCATTTCGAAAGTTTGTAGAAACGGAGTAAGAAACTGTTCCAGCAGCTTGTGCACTAATGATCTTCCCCAAGTCATTAACGCACCAACGATTAGGACAGCGATCCCCACAATCTGTTCAAAAAGTACCAGATAGAGAGATAAGTAGTGTAAAAAAAATCATGAGGCCTATATTTGTCCATCAAAGTTCTTACATTTCTGAATGAGCGATATTTAGAGCAAACGCAAACCATGGATTTGCACAACAGAACTTCAATGAGGAAAGCTTTTTGCGTATAGTTGACGTTCACTTGGTTTATTCAATGTACAAAGCATGTCTAAACAAATTTGGAAACAGGTTTACATCAGATATGTTAAGAAATTAAGTACCTGTTTGACGTGTTTGTGTGCCAAAGAGTAATCTGCACAAACTCATAGTTGATAACAAACCAAACAGCCCCAATATACTTCATGCGGTTTCTGATTATTGCGCCGGATTTTGTGGAATTTTGTTAATGGCAATATCCTTAATATGCTCCGCTCTTGGCATAAATTTAGTTTCGTTTTCTAAGTGTTATTTCTTATTTTCCAGATGATGTGTTTTAATTCCACTTTGCTTTACAACAATTTGAAACAAGGGTGTGTGCACACAAGCGCAACATGACCTATCGTTTTATATGGCAATCCGCGCGCGACTGCGAGGGTGAGTTAGTGAGTCTGCCACTTGTTCTGACAAACCGACATCAACGCGGAACACTCAATCTGGGGTCAATTGTTGGACTAACCGTCAACAGGTTTGTGTGAGTTTTTGGGCGCAAGTGGTTGACCCATGATGTCTAAATACGCCTATGGAATGTGTAATAAAATGATTAAAATGGGCAATTTAATTTTTAAACTACTTCACGCACTTCCACTTCAAATGCAGGAACATCAAGCCAATACGTGTGTAGGCTGATCTTCAGCAGGCTAGTATAATGTTGGTTCTGCTTGAGGTGTAATACCGCCCAAGTAAGTAAGCCGGAGTTGCACTGTTCCTAATGTATGATAGGCTGGCAAAAGTGACGGAGCATATGTTGGGCGCCAAAAGAATTTCGATAGAAACAAGCGTAGCTGGATGTCTGATACATACCTCTCTATCAAACTCCACTGCAAGCCAAGTGCACAATACTGAATGTTACACTAACATACTGACTCCTGCAAGCACCGTCACTATTTCAAATCGCCCAATTGATTCTAAACCTTTCATCACTAACCAGTTTACAACAATTTACTCCAACCCGCTTCTTCACACAAGGCTTCGCCGAAACCCAGGAAAAAACCGATGTTAGTGATCGTTGAGTCTAATGGCACTCCAAGATAAACAGCCACAGCTTCCTCTACAACAGACTGGACTAACGTGAGAGGTGATGCTGCACTGGTGCGTAGCGAATCGTTCGGCCTCCCAAAAGCAACCCAAGCTCCCCCGCAAGGCACTCAGAAACAATCCTATGCCCTGTCCATAATAAGTACAAACGTACTGAAATTAAAAGCGAATTCATTAAAGAGAAACGGGTGAATGATCGCAACCAATGAAGCGCCATAAGCAGCCTGCCTGGTATTTGGACTAAGCCTTCCAAATTAGAATGCTCAACTGCCACCCGAATTACAAGCCCCGTGGTGAAGCCAGATTTCTAAGGGTTATGCTAAACTCTGTCATTGAGGAGGAAACAATGATATTTTCGACACCTCGTCTCCAGAACGGATCATGTGTGATCCGCGCCTTTTTAGACGTTTCATGGGAGAACCCAAGCAAGCGAAGCATCGCTAACAAAAGTAACGCATATACACCTCAGCCAGAACCGTTTTTGCATGTCGTGCTCTATTTTCATGAGTACGAGAAATGTGAAACAAAGGCGCACAACGTAGAGCAATGTTGCCAAATTCTTGCGACCCTACTCACAAATGACATTGTAGATATCTCTCACTCGAACTTGACAAAAACAGCAAAAGATAATGGGTTCCGAAGGTTGTGCTACAAACTAGGCAGATGGCACTTACGCTGCTGGACCGTCGGCATCCACTTCGGAAGAGACTGCCAACAGAGCTCCGGTGTAAAGCTGTGAGCGAACTTGTCGTCCGACTTAAAGCACCACCACAGAAGGCAAATGAACTAGAGATCCAGCACAAATTCACACTGATATCATGTCTGAAACTGCGCGTTTTCCTATGAAATCCTGTAACCATACTACTTACACAGCGCAGACTGAGTTGTCTGAGAGGTTACTTACGATGTCGCCGAATCCAAATCCAAGCGACCTGCTGAGCTTGCGAGTCAAAACGGTTGGCGGCCGACCATTAAACAGTCTGCACAACCTTCCATTCAAATCACAAGTTTTACGGATTACTGCTGAACACTGGTGATTTCCTACAAGTAAACCAATGACCAAAACCTCCTCAGCGAAATCGGCAAACTTCGGTTGCTTCCGGCAAAAACGCTTGAAATCTCAACTCCATAACCGAGACCTGATTACACTCAGGGATTACGGATGCCGAGATCGCGATGCAGTGTATGTCCTTGTTCCGACACGATCGTCCCAGCAGGTGAGGTGGTGTGCTGCCATTTTATCGCAGCAACTTAAATGGATGATCCGGGGAAGCTGGTCACCGATTCCCTATGGTGTTATTTGCGTGTCAGATATTATGATGGCTGTTTGTGGCAGTTGTTTATCATCCCCGTCATCCTCTCCAGTGATTGATTACTGCCTAAGATCGGCACTGGCAAAAAACTTCCAACTTACAGTCAGATCCTTATTTCCGGCGATTTCTGTGCGCACGATCTGAAATCCTCCCCATCCACAAGCGAAACATTCAAGGCCAAAATCAAGACCTTATCTAAGTATCACACTGTAATTTCACATCCCACACCTACCAGGTACAGAGTTGGTAACAAAGCGTCTGTACTTGACCCCGTACGTACAAATGAGGAATTCACGTTCCCATGTGACACAGTAAGGTATTTTGTGTTAACCACAAAACAAATAGATAAGCGCCAACGGCTGTATGTAGTTTCCATAGGCCTAAATTCATTTACTGCCATTTGATGCATATAATGATTTATGCTGAATGCTGATTCACTGTGACCAAAGTTTGTTTCTGACAATTGGATAGAGCTAGCCGCAGCGTTCCGTTTTGTTAAATTCTGTCAATTATCGCTTCCTTCTGTTTGCTAAGGCTGTCGCTATAAGCCGGATAAAGGCATTTCTGTGAGTTAAGAAACAATTGTTTGTCAAGCTAAGGCTGCCCTGGAAGTAGGGATGAACTTCGGGCATTCGTTCTGCATGTCTGGTAGCACCCAATGTTAGCTATATCGGTTATTGTTAATGGTACTGCAGAAACAATACGAAGGTCAAGTATCTATCAGCTTTGGTATTTTTTCCGTGCTTGCTCAAATTGTCATCGAAATGAACTGCTTTAATCTGTATTACAGACTTGGTATGGCTAGATTTACCGTCAGCCGAAAACGGTGCATCTGTGCACAGTCAATGAGTGCTAATCTATCGAGGGCAGTTGCAATGATGCTATCTCCATAGATTTACCACAAGGTTAATAACATACTCTGGTTTGTCGAGTTTTACACGCCCCTGGGAATCACAGTAACCAGATCGAAAATCACAGCCTTTGATTTAGTAGTCCCACAGACCATTGCTTCGTGTCCAAATAAACCCATCGGTAATCAATCCTAATTTAACTATGGAGTCAGAATACACTAAGGGCGTGTTATATACTAAGGTGTGTTTCTCGTCAATCGCTATAGCTTAGCAGCGCAACTTACTTGGCGTTACTTAAACAGAAGACCGTTCACGTTTTAGAGTGTTTACTCAAATAAATAAATAAATGGGTATATTTCCAAATGAGTGGAAAACCTTCCTTTTGTGGGACGATCATTATTATTGTTATTTTGGGTATAAATTTCATTCAGTATGGCAGAGTTAGGAAATGTTTTGCTGTGTATATAATACATAGCATTAGTTGATAGCTAATCTTGTCATATGTTGTACGGACCCGATTCCATGACAGCGCTCGCGGATTGCTGAAGCTCAGATAGTTTGATCATATTTGGCATAAAAGCAAGATGTCTTAAATTAGTTTTTAAAATTGAGAGGCTCTCGCAGTTCCTTTAGTGCAACGGTAGTTCATTCCACAGATGAGTAGACCTCAGCGAGAAGAATTTTAAGCTGATTTTTTCTTCGTGCTTTGTAAGGATAGTAGACGTTTACCGTTACGTGTGGGATAGAGCGAGCCATTATGTGATGCAACGGACGTACTGGTTGAACAAACTCGGGAGTATATTAGGCTGTGGAGAAGAGTGAGATAGATTTTCAGCCGTCGAAGCCAGAGCGGATCTAGCTGGATGAGAAAACATTGCTCTTCATAGGTAAGCCGTGAGGAGCGCCCTACAAACATATTGGTCAAAGAGCACTAGACGTTTTCCAAAGCAACTCTACATTTATTGCGTAAATGGCTATGTGTGATGATGCAGTGTATATGTGCCCCATGCTGAGGCTGATGTTCCGTTCATGATGCTTCTTCACCACAGTTAGGCTAAACCAACTTACACCTAAACTAGGTCTTTTTAATGTGGATCACATTCATTACCTATTATTTGGTTTGCTCTGCGTACTTGATAATCTTCTCCCAACTTACACACGTCGCTCATGGAAATTGTGGTAAACTTGCATAATTGTATCGCGTGGTATTTAGTAAATAACTCGGACATTTTGTACTTATCACGGATTCACTTATAAACAGTTTCTTCTATATGCGCATTTAGCGAGTATTTATGTCGTCATATGCGTTTACTTTATTCGGTATCGGCATTTTGAGTGATTGGCTATTGTTTGACATCCCAGGTGTGGCTGCGCTTGACGTACATGTTGACAAGGTGCCTACCTGTCTATTACCCACTACCTCGTCCATCTGACTCCAAGTGACATTTGGTCGTTGCTGGAGGGGACGGGGTGCACGGTCCTTGTGGTCGTGCTAGGCTCGAAGAGTGGTTCTATGCAGTTAGTGTAGAGCGGACTACGGTCCAGCCACCGCCTTGTGTGCACTTGATTCGCCAACTACAGTGTGCTTGTGTTTGCCTGTGAAGGAGTGTGGGCCGGCTCCGTTGATGAAACGTGGCTCCCATCCACGTGCTTCCCGGTATTATTCCTTTTGGGTTTACACTGCATAAGGGGTGTGTGAATGGAGCTGTGGGTGATGCAGCGCAAGCCATCCATGGTCCCACTTTAGGTGCAGGCGTACTGTGGCTGGACACAGTGACAGGCAAAGCCGAAACCGGATGCCAAAAGCCATGATGATGCAGTACGCTAGAGTGGGTCACATAATTAGTTTGTGAGTAAATGTATATTTAGGATAATGAGAATATCCTAGTGATGTAGCATGTTAGTTGTATCGCTTCCTTAATTTCATGAAGGATATATTCGGAGAATTTCAAGCTGTACAAATATCAAATTCCCAGAAATCAGACGGATTACGCACTTGGTATGAGGTTATTATTTTGGCGAGCTATTTCGTGATATTAAGTCTTGTCGCAGCCATGGTACTTGCGGTTGTCTGAGATACGATATTAGGACTTTGACATGAAGCAAACGTTACTACTTATCGGTCAACAGCTTTAGTTGGAGAAAAGTAACGAAAGTGATCAGCTTTGGCCTGTCACACATTGTAGAGATTGGTTTTTGACTGGGTGAGTTGCGATAACGTCCCGTAAAAGATATCGTTTCATGTTCACATACTCGTTACTGATGTCCTTCTTTCTAGTCACTGATACTATGTGTTGCTAGGATTAAGGAATGGTTCCTGTCTAGAATATTGTATGGAAATCAGGGTAAACGAAAATTTGTCTTCGATAATTCATCTTCAGGCTTATACAATTATATGTAAAGCAAAATGTGCAAACATACATTACAAGTCGTTACTATTAGAGCGAGTTAATTGGACGCCGACAGCACTGTCTGTTAAGCCACGACAACCGACCGCATGTGACCTCGTGGGTCAGATGTCACCGGCCGTTTGGGCCAGGGCAATCCCAAGACTTTAGTTAGCCCCTTCTGAACACAGAGCTCCGGTTCATACAGCCGGATCGCAATTGCTGAAGCAGCTTCTAATAGTCTCTTGCGGACGTAGTTCGAGCACTGCTTTGGGGCCTGATAGACAAGTTTGAACGAATCAGTGGAATTTGTGACGTGCCCTGTATCGGCTAGGTGCGCGGCTATTGAAGAGTTCGCTGTATTTCTACTTCCAGTTCTAAGCCCGACCGGGAGGTGTACCTTCATTCTCTCAGATAGATGCCGTGTGGTACGACCAGTGTATTCCGCTCCACAGGAGCAAGAAAATGTGTAGCTACACATTGCGTTGGTGTGGACAGGCCTATTATCTCTTGAGTTTAGCCTCACCGTCGGAATGTTAGTGGACTGGATTTGCATCTGCGCTGCTGGATAGGTGTGTCTAAAAGCAAACGAAGGACGACGAGATGGAAGTTCCGTCGCAACCTCGCCCTTGTATGGCAAGGGTCGAGGCGTATATATGTCTCCATTTTCTCGCTAAGTACATAGAATCAACACTTATCCAACTAACTACTGGAAAGCTCTTCGTCGCTCCCGCATCAGACCGGATATCTTTTGTTTGAAAAGCTTAACATTAAATCAGATAGATGCCACTCGTATCAAAGGGGACGAGCTCAAAGGTGTCCTGAGTCAGTTGTGTAATGCGCTGGAGGGTCTGTCAACCGGAGACTGATCGGAGCTGGAGGAAACAATTAAAGAAATAATCAAAAAGCAAGGATCCAGTTCGCTTCATCAGCTCACAAACGCGCTGAAAAAGGAGAAGCCCTCAACGTCCTTTCCGGTCGAACCAGAAAGGAATGTTCAAAACTTGTCACGCCTGACGCTTGATCGTGTTACAATGAAGGTTTTATCATTAAGCCCTAAATTCTGTTTTCCTGCTGGGAAGGATAATAGATTAGCAATAGAGGCCCACTTTGAAAATGTGTACACACAGACCTCAGCTGATTCCTAGTTCGGAAATGCATGTGTAAGAGTTCAAATCGTTTCTAGTGCATGCATGCTACCAGTGTACCGACGTGCAAGGATAATACTTAACACTCCGGTAAAACAATAATACGTTGAAGTTCTTAACCGTTAGGTTAACAAAGAAAAAGACGAAGCTCTAGACTGAGGATTCATAATATCCCAAATCTTGGCATCCTGCGCGACGTCCTCAGAATAATTGCTACAGTTGGTATAGGTTACATATGCAAACCCAACTCTATCGGCGATGCTGATTGTTGACTAACACTGTACACATCTGCAGAATAACAGAAAACTAAGTTAATCCACTAGCTTGACAATCGGATGACAGTTTCTGATGTCTGCAAAGATATGTTGGGTTGAGACTTTCCCTTTCTTATCAGTGAAAGCTTGTATGACTGTCTGTACAGCTATATCTGAAACATAATTACTAAATAGGCGTAAACAAAACGACCATTTTTTGCCCTGAGTTCAAGCAGTCGAATGGCACTGATGATAATGAATCGTACTGTAGAAATTAGCTGTTGCCCGCCCGGAAACACTGAACTCCTATGACGCTTTTCGAGGTTATTTCATCCCATCTGATAGTGAAAGCAAGGCGTTGTCCGTCGTGACCCTGTGGCTTAGAGGTAGCGGTCACAACTAACATCTCAATATTCCCGGGTTCGATGCCAGCTATCTGTATCTGGTGAAATGAAATAACATGGAAATGCATTATGGGAGTGCGGAGTTTTCGGACGGGCAACACCCAAGTTCCAAATGCTTCATCAGCTACGCTCCTCGTGATCGAATGATCAAAGTTCACTTCAATGTGAATCGTGATCAACATTTAGATTGCGTGTAGCAATCCATCCGCACAACAAGTACTTCAAAATGACTCACTATACCAAAAGTGTGCAGATGCAAAGTATCACCGTGGTGACTAGTTCCACTGAAGACTTAATCGTGGGATCTTTCATCTTGGGTTGCTAGGCTGACTGTCAATATCATTAATGTACAATATTGCAGGTCAAATTTGAAAGAATTGGTAGTGGGTAGGGTTCGTTCACCATAGATCTGTTCCCTGAATCCAGCACCAACTCTTGAATAGTAAAGCAGCGGTATATAGTTTGACCATGATAAATGACAAGCTCGCAACTGCAAGAACGCTTTGCATAGCACAACAATTGCTGGTGCATCCTAGCAAGGATGAAATTTCCCTTAATCCAACGCAGATAATGAACAAGTAAAGTCAAATTACTAACTACAGTAGTCTACCAATTATCATCTTTTCAAAGATGGCAACACCCAATGTTTGGTAAAAATATGTATGCTCAAAGTGGATGTAAGCCTACCGTGGTAGCCCATGCGTCTTGCTACCTGTCGTCACTGTTTTTTTTATGTTTCAATGTTGCATGTCTTTGTGCTTGATAAGAATGCACGAAAGGACGGCGTCAGCTCACAATCTACGTCCGCTTTTATGTTTGATATCATAAAGAGTAATGCTTGTTTTAAATATGTTAACACTTGAAACGCCACTAGTACCGGTATGCAAGCGAATTGCATTCTAACTGTATTCTTTACCAGTATAAAGATTCTTCTGAATTAGGCACCTCTCGATAAACATTATTAACACATTGTGCTTTTGATTTTCGAGGTAAATATATCTTAATGATGCACTTGGCTAACTTACCAATGTAGCTGTGTTTATTACCAAGAGAACGATGCGACATGGTAAATTGCAAAGCATTTGCCGAGGTTTCGTTCAATTTTCTGCGGAAAAAAACAGTTCATTCAATGCAGAGGTTCATTATGAATGGTGGATTTAATAAATAAGGTCATGTTATCTCCAGAGAAGCGAACGTGATAGCAACTATAGCATGAAGAAACACCGAAGTCAACTGCACTTCTTCACCCTATTTGACTGAAACTAGCTTCATATTACAGCTCCTTTTAATGCTAACATACTATAGCCGTAGTCCCGTAAAGCTCGTGTGGAGAAGCTGTACCAAATTTCAACAAGCGCCATTGGTTTATATTCCGGATTTTTGCATTAAATAACTTATGCTAACAAGTTATTAAACGTGCATAAAGTAAACTACGACTATGGTTTGACTTTGAGTTATATCCTTTGATTTATCTAAGATTCAATGTTATACACTCTCAACGAGCTCACATTAGGTGGGCAGTTGGTGGGAAGGGGCTTAGACTACAAATAAGGTATAAAACTGGTTTTGCCATATTTTACTCGCACCGGCATTTTTAATATTGAACGCTTGCATAAATGAGCACAGTGGTAGTACAAATTGCTCTAATGAAAGCGAGAAACTTTCATGGGGTTTGTAAAGATCATATATGACTCGACACCGGTTGATGCCAGCAAATGGCAGCTAAAAAATAAGAAGATAGGCACATGTACTTTTTCCACATGCATTTTCTGGACATCAGTAGGTTAACAGCTGAATGGTTGAAAAGTTTTCGACGTGAGTTCATCCACGATATCTTCACAGTTAATATAAACTACTAAGGTGTTCCAAAAGATATAAAAACTTAGCCACCCCGGCTCTAAGTGCCCACCGGTACCGGGATGCTCAAACTCATACTGACCATTTTATTTCTCACAGCATTAGAAGCACACATTGCCATGGCTACTGCTATGAATTAAAGGTGAGTAAACTTTGGATTCGCGATTAAATCTAAGAGCATCACACAGTAGCTGTACATAAAAAGACCCGAAACGAGAGCTAAAGCAGTGCTAACCTGCTTGATTTCAGGTCACATGGAACGCGGCCAGATTGAGCTGAAGTGCCCATCCAATTCACATATACAAATGGCCCGAGAGATGAATCCAAACGGTGATGGTGTGCATATATTAAGCCACAGCGGCACACCGCTAGATGGCCGTGGAAGTGCAGATAAAACCTTTAGGATGAGTACATCGCATGGAAGCGGGTCCCCAGAAGATGGTTCAATGAATAGTCGTCGTACTTTACTTGAGACGTTTGCTTTTTTCTTTAACGTCTGCTGCAGTCTTTGCTCTATTCAAATGAATTTGTTCCTTTTGTGTTTTTAATTATACAAGCTAACTGTACAATAATGATCACATGGGAAATGGTATGTCTCCCGGAACCTAGAACTTACATTATTTTTATTAGTATGAACGCGAAACTTCCCCAAAATATTTAACCAAATATTAAAGAGGGTGCTCTGTATTTTCTCAGCTTTGAGCGTATTTCAGATATGACCACTAGAAGGTTTTGCTGCAAGTTGACGTGAAACATACCTAGATAAACTTTCTTGATAACCTCTATTAATGTTCTTAGGATTGTCACAGCAAACTTCTGTTATGAACTAGTAGAAGGCATGCTGAAGCGGTTTCCAAAATGTGGCAGAAATCAGTCTCTAAACGGACGTTCTTCTCATTCCCGTGTACACCACTTCCATGAAAAATGCCGTATGGCTTTTGATGAACCAGAATAACATTTTCAGCAGTAGAAGCAATGCACATGAAGACGGGTCACTAAATGGATGGATGCAAATACTGGACTATCGTCAGATATGCTTCCCAGCAACTGTACAAAAGCAAGGCAACAAATCTCAGAAGTAGGGATTTCGATGAGATCTGTGCAAAATCGGTGGGTTTATTCAGTTGATAATCTTAGCTTATAACACAAAAGCTTCGTCAGGATAGGGAACTTGACCCAAAGTTGAGATGGCAACTCATATTTCAAGGGTACGAATAAACATTCGAATCTCGCAATCGAAAACTGTCAAGTGAGTTTGTTGGGTTGTCGGCGCATGAGGCAAATTTGGAAAATCATCGCATTTTCCAAAGTAGGTTTCCCTGGATCAACATACTACCCCGATCACTTGTTGTGAAACCTCCATAAAATACATGCACCTCCGTAAGGAAAGCGTTCAATGCATGCAAAGCATTTTTGAAACAACGCATTTACTTTACAACCAGACCTCTACTTAATTTCCACTTCCATGCAAATGGGACGAGTATGCATCTAAAAGCCTCAATAACGCAGTCAGACTATGAACGAATGTTCAACAAAACCGCAGAAATTAATTCAAAAGGAGGACGGGGTTTATAGGGACGAGAAATTCGGAAGTTTGTACCTTTACTTTCTAAGCATCGTAATGCCACTAACCTCAGTGATAACCCTGGATCTTATGGCAGCTACTGTAATGCAGTTAACTTTTCAGCTAGCGTTTTGAATGAAAACGAACGTAGAATGTTGTTGAAAGCTTTGAGCTTTACTATCAATAAGGCTAAGTTATACGCAGAGGAGGTGCTTCCTAGCGTTAAAACGTGGTAACGAAGTTATCCGTAGTAAGATTAAAGAATATCCGTGCAATGCTGGTGAATATTATTAAATTTCAGAAACCGGGGAAGCAAAGCTGGCGCCAGCTGCAAGTATCGCGCTGAATGCTTTAAAGATCGATCTAAGCATCCTAATTACACTTGCTGATAATGGAAAAACAATGGTGGTGATGTATAGGTCGGATTATTTGGAATAGATAAGACAACATTGGGCGACAGAACTTTATAAGTCAACTGAGATTTAAACCGTAACGACGGTGACGCATAAGAATTAAACGGAGGTTGGCAACTATTTGCGTGGGATAAAGAAATGATTTTATCTCTATCTGAAATCTACTCTGCCTTCTACGCTTTGTGGGCTACCAAAGATACGTAGGCCTGACGTTCGCATGCGGCCTATAGTCGACGGTATATCCTCTCTGACTCATGAACTCACGAGATTTTTGGCGTGAATAATGTGGCCGTTGACAAGACGAACAGGTTCTTTCCTAAAGAACACGTACCACTTTGTCCAAAACATAGCAGGGATCACCACGGAACCAATGGACCAATGGTAAGCTTTGGTTTCACCTAACTTTTTACTAATATACCCAAAGAGGAAGCGCTAGAGTCAGCAGGACGGTTTTTAAACGATGACAGCATAATGGGTGAGAGCATTAATCATGCAGTTGATCAAATTTTGCAGGGTATGACATAGTGCCTTGGCAAGTCCCATTTCATTTTTCCATCGAAGCTGTACAGCCAAAAACTAGATCATTCCACGAGCAGGTAATTATTCGCCGTATTGGTCAACTTCTACATGGAGGATTTTAAAAAGAAGTTGCTACGGAACTCCGGTAACTCACTGAAATTTTGCTGCTGCTACGTAGACGGCGCTTTCATGAGAAGAAAAATGGATAAGAAGGCGGACTTACTACACAGTCTCAACTTCATTAACAAAGTGTAAACTTCGTTTGGACTCAGAGTCGTGCTGTGATACCATGCCATTCCTTTGCTGCGTAGTTCATAGACATTGAACAAATTGGAAAAGAACAATCTACCGTAAGCCAAGGGATACTGATTAGGCAATCCATCATACTTCAGACCATCCAAAGTACGTTTACGCAGGATAGCCCCATCGCCGTTCCCCTAGGCACAGACCCTGTGAACAATAAAAGAGGATAGCACGGCTGCACGGGAAAAGGCAGTGAGCAAACTACTGGACAGTGGTTATCAGCCAGGCCTACTTAAACGTCAGTTATGAAAAGTACTAAACCCGCTGACATAGTCCGCAATGCAGTGTGTAGGAGCAGTGGGAATTCCGTAAAAAGAAACCACCTCGAAAGCAATTCGAAGGATTTTGAACAAGGAGTGTATAATTGTGATCGCAGCGTGGCGAAACTTTACCTTTAACGCTGGTGCGCCTGAAGGACTTCTTTCCACAGATAGGATGACCAACTCTATGTATATTATCAACTGAAAGGTCTGTGCAAACATACAGATTGGTCAAACATAGAGCGAGCTACGGATACGAAACTTAGAACAAAACCGGCAGATTTTGCGACCGCCGAGATGTGCTTACATGCAGAGCACATTTAAGAGACTCTACGGTAGCTGTATATACGCCAGATACCGGGCATCTGATCAATTTGAACAATGTGGCAATCGTTAGGAAAGGTTTGCGAGTGATGCCCAAGAGGTTAAGAGTGCCGAGACGAGCTAACTCGAACTACCTGATTGCTGTGTGAATAGAATGGACGGGGTAGAACTCCCGCTTGTGTGGAAAGCAATGTTAACCCCGCCTGTCTGACGAGCGTCGATACGCCGTTCAGGTTGGACAGTAAAAAGTAGCATCATCATCATTGCTTTCACCAAGGCGTAAATTGCCAACATTACGAACAGTGAAACACTGACAATTGTCCCATACTGACTGACCAGTTGAGATCACCTTTCCGTCTGTCTGTAAAAGCCACTTGATTCTTAGTGATCATCATCATCTCCTTTACTTGCTACAACATGCTACACCAAATTTGTACCAACCCACCTGGCTTGACGAGGCATTTTTGACAAAAAGGAAACTTTGCCTACCAAATAAACCAAACGATTAGCCTCAACTCTCACTGAAACCGTGACTCCCTAATCGATTCCAAGTATAGTAGAAGAGTTTAATTCTCAGGTAGCTTATGGGTTCATTGTATACAGGTGCCGGTAATTTTAGTTGAACATTTTCTGCAACCATTTATTGCTGATTACTTACTGTGGTATTTTTAAATGCAGGAGTCAAATTTACATTATGGCTGTCCTACCCGCATTCGTTAAACATATATTCATAGTAGGATGCAGCTTTTACTGAATTTATATGACCTTTGTAGCGCACTTTTCTCCGGTGGTACCGAATTGGAGCTGAAACTGATTACCTTTAGTAAGGTGAGGTATTAAGT